CAGAAATTTTAATTTTAAATTACTCATCTTCTATTCACTACCCCCACCATTTTTTTCCCCTTGCACTTAATGCACAGGGGACCTCCCAGTTCAGTGGAGCATAAACTGTTGTGCATCGATATTTTTCTTGCTGAAAACCAGAATCAAAATTAGGTCAAATAGAAATACTAGAATTTGCAGTACCATCAATTTCTGTGCTAGATAATCCCTGAGGAAACAGCAAAACCAAAACACCCTGGCAGGGTTTCCTTCCAACATGTTTGGCTGGTTTTCCAGTTCCGTTCAGATCTGGTTGCCACAGTTACCCACCCTGTGAAATGAAGAGGAGGGTGTCCATTTCAGCCCAAAAGGTCTTCTTTGCTTCAAAATACTGGACTTTTGCTTATGTTACCAAGCACAGGTGATTTTTAGGTAATAATCTTTAGTAATCTTTTTTGAGTTGCTAGGGGTTTCTATTTTTTTACTTCTTGGCTTCTGCATTGAGCCAAACTTCAGTGAACTCAAAGAACACTGCAAGGGCTCTATTCATCCTGAAAACCTAAATAATCCCTGTCATATAGCCCCAAATATCTCTGTCTCTTTAAAAATAAAGACAATTATCCCTTAGAGGTGTGAGAAGGACCAGGCTCCCCACTCCTCCCTCATCCCTTGTCCTATCAGTGATTCCCAGCTCTGTTTCTTGGCATCACTGACTTCAGAGGGGGCACAGAGGAGCTGAAGGTGTCTCAGCTGTGATCTGGAGCTCCCTGGCAGGGCAGCTCATGTGGTAAATGAAGGGTGTCAGGCCCCCAGGATTGCCAAACTGGTTGCTTTAAAATAGCAACTAAAATAAAATTACTGAGAGCTCCTAAACCATGAAACTTCCATGGCAGGAGGAATAAGCTCACGGGAGGAAGGAAGGAAGGAAGGATGGATGGAGTTGCAGACAGACAGATGGAAGAAGGCCAGTGCTTAGCCAGCTAATAACCATAAAGATTTAATGTAAAGAGCAAACCCAACATCCTACAGGTGAGTTACCTCTCTGCTGGTCTCCTGTGCACCAGAAGTTTCTCAGCCTGATGTCTCTTGTCCCTGTGAGATCCAGGCTGAGCTGAAGGGATTGTTGCAGTTCAAGGCACAGCCTCTCATTTGGCCACTGAGCAGCACATGTAAGTCCTTTCTCACACCAACCCTTAATGTGAGGATGTTTATTATCCAGTATCTCAGTCAGTTCCTTGATTTACCTGGTCTAAGGAGTGATACAATTGCAGTATGCTTCCTTTGGAGTGGATGCTCTGCCCCTTCTGGTCCTTTCAGCCTTTTCTTCCTCTTTGTTAGAAAAACAAACTGTTTTCTGTTTATTGCTCATCTATTCTCCCCCAGTTTTTTTTTCCTGATTTACCCCCAGCATGTCTCCCCTCATTCCTTTCTGCTGACCAGCACCCTTGGTGTGCTGGTGGTACAAAGTCAACCCCCCCTTCATGTGATGGAGTCACGAGGAGCTCTGCCTTCCTCTGTTTTTCAGCACCATTCCACAGAAAAAAGAAAGAACCCTTTTATAAAACAGGTTTTAGGCAGTAATTTTCAGGTGAAACAAGTTTTCAGTGAAAGGCTTTGTTTTATCAGCTCTAAATACTTTCTGAGAGTGTTCCAGCCCTGCTGGAACATTCATGCTTGAATGAGAGGCAAAAATGTTTCTATGAAGTTAATGCTTTATTTATTTATTTAAACAATAATTTCATTCAACTCTCATTTTTTAACTTAAAATAACTTATTTCACGATGTCCTTTTCTTTTGTATGAAAATATTTAGGAGAATTCTTTTAATAAATTGAAAGAGACATAAACATTCATTTTTACTTTTGCCCATTAAACGCATATTTAGGTTGATTAAAATCATACTGGCCATAGGAAGTTTTTTTTTTTAGTTTAACTTCCACAAAAAGCACCAGACAATGAGTTTGCACAGGGTTGGCCACAATATGCTATTGGAAAACTGCTGGGGATTTAGCATTTCAGAAAACAGGTAGGGAAGTCCCTAATTTCTGGCATGTGAAGTCACTCCCAGGGCTGAGATAAAAGGAAGCAGAAGGCTGGCACAGAGGTTCACACCTCGTGGCTGGAAGGAAGTTTGGAAAAAGGTGTTTCAGAATTTCTGTTAGTAAATCTGAGACAAGTCAGTCTTTTTAGCCTAAAACCCAGGAGGCTGAGATAATAGGGATTGTTCAGCCTGGAGAAGAGAAGCTTTGGGATGACCTAATTGTGGCTTTCCAGTGCCTGAAGGAGCTACAAGACAGATAGAGAGATATTATTTACAAGGGCCTGGAGAGACAGGACAAGGGGGAATGGCTTCAAACTGACAGAGAGTAGGGTTAGATGGCACATTGGGAAGGAATTGTTCCCTGTGAGGGTGGTGAGGCCCTGGCACAGGTTGCCCAGAGAAGCTGTGGCTGCCCCATCCCTGGAAGTGTCCAAGACCAGGTTGGACGGGGCTTGGAGCAACCTGGGCTAGTGGAAGGTGTCCCTGCCCATGGCAGGGGGTGGAATGAGGTAGCTGGAATGAGAGGTCCCTTCCAACCCATTCTGTGATTCTATGAAAGCAGGTCAGGAGGACCCAGGTGGGAGTGGGACCAGCCTGGGGGGTCGTGGCCGGTCAGTGATGGGCAGCAGCAGCTTCAGGTGGGTCGTGACAAGGTAAGGCACGGGCAAAAGGCCCTTGGCAGCAAACACACCTTGTACAAGTACTAAAGAAGTCCTACAAAGTCATGTCTGACACCAGCTTCATTCCCTATGGTCAGAGTTCATGTTTTTCTGAAGTGAAACGTGCACTGCTGGTACAACACATTTGCCTCATACATTGGTCAGACAATGCACAAAGTGCTCTTGTTCTTCCACAGTTATTCCAAAACTCTTTCCCCCATAATTTGCATCTTCATGATGTGGTTTATCGAGGAGAGTATTTTATTTCAGTTTATTCCAGCAGTGAATTTTCCCACGTGTTTGTTGCAGCACATGAGTCTGGCATATGTTTGGATCGATAAACTGAGAGGAAAAAAAGAAAATTACACCCGAGCCTTTATTAAAGGGAGGTGTAATTAACGACTTCAGATTAATTGAAAATGTTTTTTCTAAGAGTAGCAATTGAGCTGTATCCTGATTAACTGCTTTCTCTCAGGCTTTGTAACCTTGCAGAACGTGCTGTTCAGCAGGCAGTGGAGGGGAAAAGGCCATCTGATATCTCCGCAGAACCTTTATAAAAGACCTGTCATTTTCCCATTCTGAAATGTTCTGTGCTGCTATAATCACATTATAAAAAGGAGTTCCTTGGGATTGTTTAATTTAAAAAGAAAATCATAGTTCCTCAAGGGCTGAGGACTCTAAGGAGGAATAGGCTGGTACTAGAAATTTGATTCTGAGTGAATTAGTTGCTATTTTATTTTAACCAAATGATTTGAGATAGCTATCAAAGAAACATATTTCCCATGATTTCTTTTTCTAGTTTAGTAAAAAATTTCCAGGTTCTCACGCTGGACATAGAATAGTCAGAATTGAGAACATTGAAAGAAAATCTTTTATTAAATATTCCTACAGAAGATCTGGGCTCAGTCAGGCCCTGTTACATTATTGGCCTGTGTTGTTAACATTCTTTCAAAGAATAGGACTGACTTCTAACCAGTTAAAAGGATTAAAACCTGTTTATATTATCATATATTGACCTTCCGTTTAATTTCTACTGCCTTAAGTAATCTGAGAGAGTTAATTCCTAATCCTTTCTCTCCCACTTGTTTGATATTGGGGTCTCTCTTGGGTCCATTTGGTTCAGTGAGTGTGGGTTTAAAGGCTCTTGACTGTGGGGCTGCCAGAACCTGCCCTGAGGCACAGCTTTGAGGTCTGTGTCTGGGATGCTGACAACCTGCTGCAAGGTGAATGTGTTGGTCAACTCTGTACTGCGATGTTTTCCTCAGCTCGTCTCTGCCTTCCAGCCTGAATTTGCCTCTTTTGGCAGGTAAATCAGTCCAGCTCCTCAGTGGGGATCCATAACTGCATCAGCTGAAAGAGCAGGTGGGATTTATAGCCATGGGTGTGCTGGGCCAAGCCAGCGACCACTCTCAGCCCAGAGTGGTCCATTGGCACCTCTTCTGCACTGAACTTCTCAACTTCCCGTGTTTCTATTAAAAAGCTGCCTCTAGACCAGCAGAGGAAGGAGACTCGTCATCAAAATGTTTCAATTCCTGTCACTTCTTAAAAGCTGTGCTTTGCAGGAGATACTTCCTAGCTTTTGATTTTCCCTTTTGCCTCCATTTGGAGGAGAAGAAATGTCGAAATATGAAGAGTCCACTTTCCAGCCATGTCTGTTAATAACTTTTAATCTCCAAATTGATTTCAGTATGGTTTTGTGATGCAATAGAAGCTGCCTTATATCAGTGGGAAAACTGAGGTATATTTTCCCTGTAGCTGCTGAACAATTTTTGTCATAGTCAGGGTTAGATTTCAGGAATGTCCTACTGGTAATTCCCTCTTCTAATCACTAGACTCTCTCCTCCAGTACAGAAACCAAAGGCAAAGTTTGAAATGCTCTTTGTCTTTACAGGAATCTGGTACATTAAGCTGCAGGTGCCTTTGTGCTTTCATCCAACATGAACATATTCATGCTGGAGTTTGAAGACGTATTAAAGATTGTTGCTGTGCATAAAAACACTGCTGGGAAAACTGAGCACTGTATTTGCAGTTCCTCAGCAAACTTCATTACATTTAGCACAAAATTTGTTTGGGCAATTAACGTGTTGGGTGTTCTGATAAATTCAATGTACAGTAATAAATCAAATTTTCAATATTCATGGCTTGGTGATTTCAGGAAGTCCCCAGAACATAAATATCAGTTCAGGAAAAGCAAACAAGCAACTTCTACATTTCTTTTGTCTTTTCACAGAGCTGCCATAAGGAAGCAAAGCATCATTATTGTTTCTTTCAGTTCTCAGCATAAAAGGAAGTAACACTTAATAAAAGCCATTGGCTGCAAGATTTCATAAGAGAGAGAGAAGCAGAGAGAGAGAACGAGCAGCGTGGTGTGGAAAAGCAGGTGTGATTCATGAATAAACTGTACTTTGCAACCCTGTAGGATACTGATGAAACAAATAGAATTTTCACAGACATGGATAATACAAGAACACAAGACACTTTTTCACAGGTAAAGGCAGAAATTGTTGTGGCTTGTGTGAAAGTGCTATTTGTTGTGTGTAACTGGAGAAGGCATTTCAGAACCTGAAAATGACTTTGTACTTTACTGGCAAGGAATTTGCAGTAGATTGTTTGATGTAATTGATTATTATGTAATGTAAGCTCAGATAGGTCGAATATTTCAGAAAGGGTTTGCAGAAGATGTGGATGAGACAATATTTGTGTGTGCTTTATTCTTAAGAAAGTTGAAACTTGTGAGGTTTTCCTGATACAAGAAGAGGGACAAAGAGATAAAATCAGTCTTTCTATTGCCATGCTAGAGAGGATTTATTAATACTATGTATTATCTGTGCTAAAAATTTCCATAAAGTAATTGGAGGGGAGAAAAAAATGGTTTATATTATAGGCAAAAGCAGTCTTTTGATAATCACAGTGGAATCTGAAGTGACTGATATGCCAGAATTGAATATACATCAGCTTGCAGCACTATTGGATTTGTCTGAGTGCCTGCCAGATACAGTCTTGTAGCATTCTACCTGTTTCAATACTTGGGTGTTTGGAAGTCTATTATCTGGAGAACTGAGTAGTGGAAAACTCCTCTCTAAGTCTAACTAGGACAGCTGATGGGATGTATTGGCAGAGGCTCCCTGGTGTGTGACCTGGAGTAAAGAGCAATTAGGAAAAAGGATGATTTTGATGCACACGGGCTGAGAAGGTGATGGAGGGGTCTGACTTATCCTGGGCAGCCACCAAGGGGGGCTGGGGAGGATCCAGCCCTGTTTGCATGGTTCCACTTCTTCCCTGAGTATGGGATGTCCACTGGACAGATTTTCTAGGCAAGACTCTGGACAAACCCAGAGAAGTTGAAGGGAGAAAATAAGTTTCTCCTATTTATTGCTCTTTGGTTTGTCAAGGAGGAGGAAGGGACAGGTGCCTGCCTTTGGTTGTCTCCACACAACATCAACCTCCTTGGCCTTGGAAGGTTTGTGCAGAGCAGTGTAACAGGTGATCCAAACACTGAGTCCTGGAGCCTGACAGAAGTGAATTGCTGCACCTCAAGTAACAATACCTGAAGTGTTATAAAATTGCAGGTCCCATCTGGCTCTGTTCAGTGTCCTGAGGTGCTGGGATCTATTTGGAGAAGCTGTTGACAACAGTGGGGTTGGAAAGGCACATATCCAGCCTGGGAGTGTTTTCCCTTTCTTTGTTATCTGAAACCTGTGTGTTTATTGCTTGGCACCAACACACAGGCACGAGTGGCAGTGATGAATCATTGCTCTTATTTCTTACCTCAGGTACTGCTGGGGAGGTTGGGGACAGCACAGATGTGGAAATAACCAAATGTTTGCTACGAGAATGGGCTTTACATGAATAAGAATCTGAAAACAGGAAACCACAACCAGATGGTGCCACTTCTCACTCTCTTTCACTCCCCAAAGCCTGCAATAAAGCACATGTACAAAGCTCAGGTTGTACAATCACTAAAACATTTGCAAAACTAAACTGTGTCTGAGAAAAATGTGTGTTTTAAACTTTTTGTGGACTCCTTTCAGAACTTGACTGTATGCCTTCCTGAGGTTTTTCATGTAAGTCTTCTGAGAGCTGGGAAGATCAAGGTGCAAGGTGGAATGGCTGTCAGATCTTTTGCTTTCCACCTTGCCTTACTTTAATCAGCTACTTTAAAGTACTTTATCCCCATGGCTTTCCCCTACAATTTTTGTTAGACTTTTTGTTAAAGGCCACCTATCTTAAGTGATTGATTTTTTTTTTTTCTCCCCAATTTTTATTTCCCTGATCTCCTCCAAGGTACCTTAAAGCAGATTTTCGCTGTATACTTACCAAGGGATCAATTCCATTTAAATAAGGCCAAATGATCCCATATCTTCAGATATGTATATTCATGAACATGTGCCCAGCCTTGGGAGCAGCTCTTGTAGCCTTTGAGATGGGCTATTTTTGAAGGACTCTAAACCAGAAATGTGATGCTTTGCTGATCTCTTGGGGCTTCTGATGTTTTGGCTGTCCAGAATCTGGTCTTTGCAGTTAATGTCAAATGTCAGCTGGTGCCTAGGACTGGAGACTGTTCAGCTCCCTTGGTCCTCCTGGCTGTCTGGGGGTTCTGCAGTGAGAAAAGGGTGAGAAATGCTCTATCAGTGCATGTGAGTTTGAGGCTGTACCTGTCCTTAAAGCCAGGATCACTTGGAGTCAGGCTAAAACATCAATATGAGCATTCTGTGTGTGAATCAGAGCTCACCTTTGCTTGATCCGTCTAAAAACACCTCAAAACTTGGGAATGTGTTGAAAGGTCCAGGGAGGCTGCTCTGAATTTTGATGTTTGCTGCTTAGCAGGAAGTAGCCCATTAAACAAAGAGGGTAAGAAATGCCTGTGGGACAGGGATAAAGCACATCCTGAGGTATGTTCTCCTCAGGCAAAGATGAAGCCCCTCAGTTAAATTTCCCACCACTGAGCCATTTGGAGCTCCATCTGTCCCGTTTCATCCTCAGCATTGTCCAAGTTCCTGAAACTGGGAGGACAATGAATATTGCCAACCTTTTTTTTTTTGGATAGAAATTATTCCCTGGGTTTAAGAAAGGACCTTAAAACTCACCTTAAATAGATGTCCAGAGAACTGTTCCTGAGGAATCTGATCCTATTCGGAAAATGTAGTGTCTTTTTGTAGGCAAGTATTCAGAACATAACATTTATACAGACAAGGATCATACTCTGCTAAATCTGTTGGAGATTGAGAAAGAGAAATAGCCCATTTTTACCTAAACATTTTACTTGGATGATTTATTAACAAATCAGAATCCTGGGAAAAGAAAAAGTTAGGTCAGAAATTATACACAAGCAGGTGGATGCTCTTTGGGGATTTTCCATGAGCTCTCAGACTGTGTTTTGATCAGAGCATAATGAAAGGTTTGTTCATTAAATGTTCCACCTAATTAATGTAAAATTCATGGAGACCCTGGATCCTCAGTTAAACGTGCATGAAATCAGTGTTACATTCTCTGTGTTGCACTTCATACTCTTTGCTTAACAGGTGTTAACTAAAATGATCTAATAAACCTCGAGTATAATGAAATGAGTCTTGTTCAACATTTAATAATTTTAGCAACCCTGTTCTTGCTTGATATGAATCTTTCTTTTACAAGACATTAGGGCACAAGATGAGATTGTAAGCCTGTGAGCAGAAAGATGCATGTTTTCCTCCAAAATGATTAGATGTTGCTGTTAAATAGCCCAAGATTAATTTGACTACCATGCTAATAAGCAAATATGATAATCCTCAATAGTTCTTATCACTGTGGATTATTTTAATTACTGTAGCTAAAGGCATAGAACATTATTATTTTAGTAACTAACTGAAATATTTCTATGTGAGCCACCTTCTTTATTTCAGTCTATTTTGTATTACAGCATTTAAATTATACCTCAATACACCAAGAAATTGCTAGGTAAGTTCACACTTAAGTATTGTTTTGAAATCAAGTATAATTTAAAATATTCAGGACACACTGTGTGCTTCTATGGGGGCAGGACATGGAAATCAATGGGAGTTTTACTCTTGCACTGAATGTGCTCAGTGTAAAACTATCCCTGAAGGCTTTTGAAAATCTTCCTTTAAAATTGCACGTGCCTAACATGAAGGAGGGTTTTCCAGGGACCATCTTTGCATTGGAAATAAACACTCATAGCCTGGGTGAAGTTTTCTAAAAGCTTTAAATCTCTGACTGCCACTTTCCCCTAAAAGGGACACTTTGCAGTGAAACCACCTGTTCTTCTCACTCAGGCTTGGAAAGTGCAAAACAACTGTGGAAACTGTGGTTCAAATGAGGAGAAGGTTGGGTTTGGCACAAAGCACCATCCAAGGCTTTTGCACCCCACAGTTTCCATAAATCTTTTTCTTTATTCTTAAAGATGCTTAGCAGTGGGAGATTGCACAGTTTTCCCTGGACAACTCAGTGTTATCCTTACTGTTTTCCAAACCTCTTTTGCTGTAATTTAAACTGTATTTCCTCTCATCCCATCACACAGGGAGCAACCTGCTCCTTTCCTTTTTGCAGCAGTTGTTTATGTACCTGCAGGTCTGTGCCTGCCCCAGCCTTCTCTGGGCTCTGAAATCCAGTCCTTCCTCTTTTCAATTGCAAATCACGTTTTTCCAAAGCTCTCATTATTCTCATTGTCCTGAGCTGGACTCCTCCAACTCTTTTCTGGGGGCATGGAAAACTTCACACCCTATTCCAGCAGAACCCTTTCTCAGTGCTGAGTGCTGCAGGAGGACTCGTGTTTTGGCTGTGCCACTGCCTGAAACCTCGCTGAGGAATATTCCCTTTTATTCCAGCAGCAGGACGTTTGTAACTGGTGTCACTCTGCAAGCTGCTTTAACTTCTGGGTCTTTTTCTGCAGAAAACATGTGCTTCAGCCAGGGCTTGTGAAGCTGGTAATTCCTGCTGAACATCAGGATTTTTTTCCCCTGCTTGCTGAATTATATATTATTGCTTCTCTCATTTGTCAAGGCTGTTTTGGATTTGAATCCCCCTCTCAACCCGTCTGCAATTCTTTTCCACCTTCGTGTCAAAGTCCATGAATTTAACAACCAAAATCTCTAGTCAATCACTGGATCACTAATGAAAAACTGAGTAGTACAAAGCAGAGTCAGTCTCCCGTGCAACACCACTCAATTTATCCTTTGAGTTTCCACAGTGAAACTCCAGTAATTACTTTCTGAGTGTCATTTCCTGACAAGTTCTCAGCGCTGCTGGAGCAGGAGGGTCCATGCTGGTCTGTTAAGTGGTGATCGAGGGAGAATCTGAAGTGTTTGCTTCACGTGAGACCTATAACTTATAAAATGTCAGTTTTTCAGGGGGAAATGTTAAGGCTTTGAGATTCTTCAATATGGTGATGTTTTCAATACTAAAAATAGCTGAAGTAGTTGGTATTGCACACTGTGCTATGCATGTGTCACTGGGCACCAGTTTACATTTTAAGTTCCTAAATATTTTTGG